AGAATAAGTTTTTTTGTTTGTTTTTGTTAGTTTGATTGATTGAGTTTTACGTCACACCGACACAGTATAGGTCATATGGCGACGATCCAGCTTTACGAACGGGCACCTGAGTAGAACCACTGACGTTTCGTAAGCTAGCTAGATAATTTCCTCACATGAAAGAATTCAAAGTTCCTAAGGTAAGTGAGATATCGTCTCGGTCGAGATTGTCTTGTCAAATGTGAGTATTTTGTTTTATCACCCTCCACGATATATTATATTTTACCAAAGTAATATTTGTTTACGATCGAAAAAATAACAAGCGTATGATTATACTCCTGGGCGTCCGCCCCCGTCCTTCTGTTTGCAACGTATCGTTAAATTGGTGGTACAAAAGTGATACTACTTGACGGAAATTTGAACATTAACGAGTTGTTGTGCATAGCGAATGTTTGACATTTCTCAGGTCAAGGTTTGGGTCACACTTATTCATTTTTTATAATCTCAATATTTCGTGTTAAACGGTATAAAGAATTTTAAACGTTAATGGCAATAGTAATCAAGCTATGTTCCGGTTGTTTTGCACTAAAAAGGGCTGTGACATCCAAGTACCGTACTGGAAAGTGCAAGTTACCGTCCACGCCCCCTAGCACCGGCTTAAGCAGAATTCAACATTTAAACATGAAATAGTAAAATTTTGAATTTAGAAACATCCGCAGATGTGTTCATACGGCGGTTATCATGGAACCTTCAATGTGACACTTCCGTGCCATTCCATGAAAAGCGGCGTATGGTCCCCAAGTAATAAAAAGTTGACTGTCAAAACTGAAAAAAAAACACTCCTAACCTATGTTTCGTCGACATGTAAGCTGTATGCGACAAACCATAGGTGGGTAGGTAAAGTAAGCGTATTATTTTGACTGGTTGTATAAATCAGGGCGTTTCCATGAACTGAGATGGTTTGAGACTTTAACCTCAAATATATGTTGACAAGATCAAAGCTCTCCGTCTTGGTGTTTCACCATTTCTGCACAGTGTTTGTCTGGTTCTTCAGCCCTAAAGTTACAGGATTAGGTAAGGCCAACTGTCTCTTCACAGTTAAAGTGAACAGTCTAAAAAGCAAGGTTTCCATAATGCAGTATAGTTCTCACCCAGTGTAAAGGAGTGCAATCCTTTGCTAAATTCCTACTTGACAGTTTTCCTTTGACTTTTGACAGCGCGATTTCCTACTGTACTATGTACATGTTCATGACGAAGTTGTCAATAAAGAGGGTCTTGCCAAATCCACATGGTATTCACGTAATTGATGCTTTACTAAGCCTAACTGTTTGATGTTAAATTAACACCCATATCTCTATTCTGACACATATATTTAAGTACAAAACACAAATATTAGAATGGCGAAAGTCCTGCCTCATTATGATCTTGGATCAAAGATCGTCTATGACGTTTAAAGAAAAGCATATATAATTTCTCAGCAAGCAGTAGACTAGAACATGACAAACTCGTGCATGGAAATGAGATCTTCGTTGGTGATACATGTATGTTAAACAAGGAAATGGAAAAGAAAGCTCCAACATTGTTACAGAGATTCGCTATGAAGGACAACTAATATACACAGTGCGTCTTGACTCTTGCAAGGAACAATTTCTCCATTATGCTTTTCACCTACCTTTCATAAAAACACACGAGTGAGTGAAACCCCTTCGGACTGAAAATGGCAGCAAGTTTTGTACTGTTTTGAATGCATTATAGGGATAACTTTTTTCCAGATATCTATATGTAGGTAAGCTGTCTTTTAGGATCTAAATATGATGGTGATTCACAGATAATTTGTTTATTCTATAAGGAAAATTGCCTCATTCATGTGCAAAAAATATGGAATACAATATCAACAAGGAATAACGGCATTAAAAGATCGCAACCACACATGACTCAGCAACATAGGACCTCCGGCAAGGAATCAAGCAGGACAGTGTGGACACCGAACTAAAAGAGGACAAGGCACAAGGCAAAATCATGGACCGGGTGATTATCTAAATTGTACATAGTAATACATAATGGGTATTAATAGAATCCGACAAGAAAAGTAAAAACGACGATTTAAAGATAGACATAAGAAAGCAGAGAAATAAAGAGGAATGGTCTACATAACCGCATTAGGGTTATAAAATAAGACAAAATATGATAAACAAGATCGATAAGGAAAGGCGGCATTCAATGAACGCAGCCCCCATCCGACCCAGCAAAAAGCGTCAGCGGCAAGGAGCCCAGGAGGACTCCAAAGAAAAACAGGACAGGGCCATAATTTTGAAATTAAATCGATAATACGATAATAGAATAGTAAATATTTTCGTAATTCATGATAGCCGTAGCATTGTTTGAGCGGATTGTTAGTCATAATTACATTCCGTCGTTAAAATCGTTTACGTGGCTACAAGCTCTAGCAAAATCTTATAAACTGAGATACATTTACCCAGTAAGATGTCTCATGGGGCTACGTCTCTATTTAAGTGTGGATAATTTACTAATCCAAAACCAAATTTACCTCTCTTATCATATTGTTTTGTATGAACAGTTTTGTTATTGACGGTATAGTGAAGATAGTGAAGATCCAAAATGATGTCCTTAAATTTAAGTCTGTAAGATATCAGATACCATTTGATAAAAATAAATATTATCTTAATAACAAATATCATCCACGTATTTTGTAGTGCTTTTTATGCTACAATAACATGTTCAAGCCTTGTTACAGAAGTGAGGTCAGTCTTTGAATCAGTCGTCTCCTTTATCCAGAACCTCCACCTTTGTTCCATCGTCATACCTAAGGTTCTATGATAAAGCATGCTATACATTGTTTAATTTCAATGCTGTTGACCTTTTTTCAATTCGATTTTTCCATGATAACGGATACTGCATGTCACGCATGCACATTCTGCGCAGGGCAAAAACGCAGTAACAAAAGACTACAATCTAATCTATCATACCTAAAGGCATAAAAGGCGTGATTTCAAGCTTTGTCATCCAGAAAACAGTTATTTTGGGATGACTGAAAGTGGTATTTACTTAAAACATTAATAACAGAGATATGAAAATACGGGGGACTAATTATTCAATAATCGAAAAGCACAAACATTACCCTGTTTAATGTATCTTTTCGACTTTTAAATTGAAACAAGTAGGGTGTTAAAGATAAAATATTATTACCCCTGTATTATGAAATAAAACACAATTGGTATTGTACACTTCCTTTGAAAGACAAGGCGGTAAGTGCAAAACAGATTGACACGTGACCGTTTTTTCCAGCTAGTTTACAATATCATTCCATCGGAACGCTTTTGTACCATGACATACTTCATCACGTAAAATTATGAAAGTCGTAATTTAAGTACATTTTACATATACTTACCGCATCAATGTTTATTAATTTTGTGAAGTGGTAAATAGTTTGACGTGCATCTGCATGTGTTACGAATAATCGGGTAACATGTGTGTTATTTCACTACTACAGTGGCACAAAGGTGACATGTATGTGTTTATATTTATCTCGTGGCCACGAAAAACTATGTCGTGGCCACGAGTTACTAAGTCGTGGCCACGAGATAGCTAACTCGCGGCCACGATTACTAAGTCGTGGCCACGAAATAGCTAACTCGCGGCCACGAGATACTATGTCGTGGCCACGAATACTAAGTCGTGGCCACGAGATGGCTCAGTCGTGGCCACAAGATACTATGTCGTGGCCACGAGTTACTAAGTCGTGGCCACGAGATAGCTAAGTCGTGGCCACGAGATACTATGTCGTGGCCACGAGATAGCTTAGTCGTGGCCACAAGATAAATAACCAATCAGATTACACCATTTATGTGAATTTCCCTAATTAACTAGACATGTGCTGTAGTAACAAGGATACCCCTACTTCACCAGTCAGTAAAAGGCCACGACTTAGTAACTCGTGGCCACGACATAGTATTTCGTGGCCACGAGTTAGCTATCTCGTGGCCTAGACTTAGCTATCTCGTCGCCACGACTTAGTAACTCGTGACCACGACTTAGCTATCTCGTGGCCACGACTTAGCATTCAGGTGGCCACGACTTAGTAACTCGTGGCAACGACATAGTATCTCGTGGACACGACTTAGTTATCTCGTGGCCACGACTTAGTACCCATTTTCTCAAGATTTTGAAAAAAATAGATAAATTTACGCGCCTTAAACATTTTCTGTTTTGAATCACTGAAAAATCAGGTTAACTGAAATCCAAAAATTCATTATATCGTGTTCTGTTTTTTTCCCAGAAAGATGATTAACCTCGATTTCATATTTTATAAAATTTCTTCAGTTTTCATATGAACCATCTCAACAACAATTTAGTTGACCTCTTTTTTTTCTAAAATTATATATTTTCATTTTTGTTATTATATAAATGTCTAATATTTTCTACTATTTACCTTAAACTAACTCGAAACGTCTGTGAACGCATATTACATTTCTATGTAGGGCGATGTTCTTTTGCATTATGCAGATTGCGCATGTGCGAGTTAATACTACCTTTGGTCAATTTTTCTTCGGAACTGACCGCGTCGTAAAAAAATATATATACCTTTTTTAAATATGCTAGAAAATCCCATCTTCTCTGTACAAAAATGCTACGATTTGTTATAAATTAATGCTTTGCTATTGTCATGACTACATACAGATTGTAAGATAGTATCGTCATCTTTATCAATTTGTTAGTCATTACATAAAGCAACGAAGACAGTGGAAATTTTCAAATTCGACTATAAATAATAGAAATATTGTTGTACGGGAGGTAGCATAGTTATCTTAACATTAGCAAATGTATTATGTTGTTTGTCTCTTTATTAAAAAATAAATTAAAGAAATTAATGTAATATATATCTTGATACATTTTTCTAAACTTAATTAAAAATACCATTACAGTCAGCTTTTCCCGGCGAACAATTTTCATATTTACATTTATAGATGCAGAAAAAATCTACCATGTAATAGAAAACTTACTAGGTTTCGATTTCTTTCCTCCCATGTCACTGAATAACTTGCACAAAGTTCCTCCTGTAAAGACTCTCAAAGAACTGTTGATGCAGTTGTATGTGTATAAAATTTAATATAGAATTCTATTCGTGACACCGGTTTTTAATTTTTGCTATCATCACGTTAATGTTTTGAAAATGCCTTCATTTGTCAATGATTAAAAAAACGCCCTGAAAACTCATATCACATAGTGTTAGTGCGCTCAATAGCTCAAGGATACCTATAAATTTTGATTTGTTTACTGTCTTAACATGCTTTTCATTAAAATGTATTTCGTTGGGGGTAAAACAATTGCTGTACGGACATTAAAACGGGATTTAATGTGAGATTCAAATTGAGAGGTCCCTTTTGAAGGCGTGAGATCCAATTTGACATTTGGCTTATAGCGATATTATGCCATATAAATGTAAAATAAACTGTTTTGTGTAGCTGCATTATTCATCATCCGGTATCGCGCAGGTTTTTTTTGTGCTACAGTTTTTGAAACAGTTCTACATAACTTTGCTACTTTTTGTTTATTGTCTGCATATTTAAAGCCAAAAGGATACATTCTTATTAGGAAACAAGTAAAGTTTTCTTTTCTATATTGGCTGGTTTATACAAGAAACTTCGATCAAAATGAATGCAAAAAAGCAATTGCACGTAGCTTGTATTGCGTCATTGCTAAAGTGCGAGCATATTAATGCAAAGTTAAAACTTTTATTTATCGCGTCGTTAACATGTGCGTAATGGAAGAATATTTATGTATTTTCTACACCGTTGAAAATAAACTTATTTCATCTTTGCTTTTATTTAGTAAATAAATTAAAGCCATCGGTTCTGATGTTAAAGTAAAACATGATCTTATATCATTTTTTTTTGTTCATGAAACAAAGTATTATTTCTTACAGCCTTCAGAACTACTTAACATTTTCAATTTTTCCATATATGGTTATATTAGATTAAAGACATGCGCAATCGGTATGCGAAACAGAGTTTCAATGATTCAATGTTAATAGGGATTGATTATACATTACAGGACTATCGACATTATTTTGTTGATAAATAAGGGTTTGTTGTAATAGGAGGATCGGAGAGTTCACTGTCAAAATTTAGAGCTGTGGCAAGTACGTATTTTTTGTTTAAATTTATGGTAAATTTTGTGTGGAAAAATGATTAAGTTTTGTATTATATGTAATATGCCAGTTGGCAGTTATAACAAAAAACTACAACAGGTTTGTAATTTGTGATAAATAACTAGAGTGTTTAATATTGAAGTATTAAAATTCTCTGCCATTCATGTCGATATCCTTTTCATTTATACAATTTATTTTTTGTTTATTTGCAATTTCAAAGAGAAGCGTTAAGCAACACATTGTTTTCATTTTTATTTATTTTTCTATTTTAAAACTTAAAAACGAGTGAGTGGCCTACAATAATTTTCGCTTATAATATTGCCTTTGGTTTTTCTTTAGATCATGCAAACTTTGGGCTAGGTACGTTTTGGGTCGATTTTGACCCATCGGCAAAAAATTCAAAATTTGATATATCAAAATTAAACTTAATTTATAACAAATGAAGCAAGATTGAGTCAGATATCTGTTTTGACAAAAAGTTCTAATAAATCAAAACAACCTATCAAGAAAACAAAATACTACAGTTTGACGTCATCAACGTCACGTATTATTTTGGGTGATGCTCCGAGTAATTAAAAATATAATGACGCATATGTATTTTCTAAACTGTTTATCGTGTAATGCAAAGGAGTTGATGATACATTTGAAGTACATTTGTACCATCCAATTACGATTGCAGACATAAATAATTAGTCACTGTGAATTATATTAAAACAGACGAAAAGGAAGACATATACAATAGCTTTTATTTATATAATTTACTTACCCTATTTATGAAGTGTGTTCAGTCACTGCTGTTTTATAAAATACACACTTACTTTCACAAGTTCATGGTTAAATGTTCGACACTGAACTTTCTTCAGTGAATGAAACTTTACATGAGTGATCAGTTCCATCTTGAGTTGTGCATATGGCCGTCATGTTCCGCTTTGTACAAATGGCCGCAAGAGTTATTTATAGAAAGAAACTTGTCCGGCTTTCACAACTGCTAGTAGGATTTCGAAACCACTATATAGGAGTGATCAGTAGACAGGAGTGATCAGTACCATATCTTGTTGTGCATATTTCCGGCACGTTATGCTTTACTGTACAAAATGACCGCAAGAGCTATAAATCGAATAAATCTTGTCAGCCTTCACAGGTCACACTTCTAGCGGCATTCTGATAAAAATTTGATTAGTCCATATCTTGTTGTGCATATCAAGGGCACGTTCTACTTCACTGAAAAATGGCCGCTCAAGCTATAAATCGAAAAATCTTGTCAGTCTTTCACAGGTCAAACTTCTGGCGGGATTTTGATGAAACTTCACAGAGAAGATCAGTACCATCTCCCGTTGTGTATATCGCCGGCACATTCTTCCTCGCTCCATAAATTGTCCACATGAGCAATGAATAGACAAAAATCTTTTCTTGCATTCACAGTTCAAACATCTGGCAGGATTTCAATAAAACTTCACAGGAGTGGTCATAACCGCCTATGGTTGTGCATATTGTCGGCATGTTCTGTTTTGCTGCATAATATGGCCACCAGATATATAAACAGAAGAATCTTGTTAGGCTTTCACTTGCTAAACTGGTGGTGGGATTTATACAAAAAAATCAGACCGAGCCTGCAACACTTTCAATTTGTAGTTTTGTGCGTTCTTCGGGGATTCTTTATTTATCTGTATTTCACAGGTGTGATCAATATCATACATTTTTTGGGAGACATTTGTTTTCATGACAAAGAAACCCTCCTTATTTCACTTTAAGGTGTTAAGAACCCTTCTATTCGGTTTTCTAAAACATCTTTCAATCAAGACAATATAATTTTTTAGAGTCTGGTACAAGACGTTTGTTTTACTTTTGTGATAGCCGGGAATAAATCATTCATGTAGATTAAAAATTTTTTTAGAAGTCTTTAATTGTCTCTTATTGCGGTCTAATTTATGAAATTAAATAACTTCAAATAATCAAATGGACTTATTATGATATATTGAAGCAGTTGTTAATAACCAGTTACCATTTAAAGAAAATAAAGCTCTTGAATTAATAATTAAATATTTCCATTTACTATAAAAGTCTCAAACCATTAATCTTTTAAATATTCAAACAGGTAATAGTTGCAATAAAAGGATACCGTAATATTTTGAAGGAAGCTGTAAGAAAAATCATACGGTTTTATCTGCTGATTTCTGTTGGTTTTCTTTTACAACGAGCTACCACTTCCCGGTACGGTACATTGTTTAAATGTAAACTTATGTCATTTTAGCTCGACATTTTCGAATAGAAAAGCTATTGTCGTTGCCGCCCAAAACTTAAACGTTGGTCATAGGTTATTTTTATTTCTCAATAGATTGCCTCCATACTTGGACACAAGTACTATTTGGAAAATACCCTTGAGTTGATAAGGCTGATCTCGAACTTTACTCATAAATGACATTTACCTTATGTTTAATAGTTGAATTTTGCTCGACGTTCCCTATAATTGACTAAAACATTATTTTATGAATGCGTTGTCTTCAAACTTTATCAAAACAGTCTTTAGGACAAGGCCTCTATAACGACATATTTGAATTTAAAGTTCAATGACGTTAAAAGTCAATTTTATTGAAATTTGCTTGATGTTTGCTATAATTGCTTTTGGCTTTGTTATTTATGAATAAAATACCAAACAAACAAAAACAAAATAAGATATACATTAAATGTGATTAATTATAATAATTGATAATTATGATAAACATACTAAGTAATAAATGATTAGTAATAGAAATAGATTTCCGTCAAGGACTTCCGTATTTTATAACCTTCTATGACTGATGTTTACCTAAACGTCTCGATGTGAACAGTTTTTTCCCCACCAAACATGGCGCGATTCAATAATAAATTTAATTTATAACTTTGTTTATACTAAGTGATGAGTTATAAAGAATACGTAGTAAGTAATAATTGCTCAATATTGAATGTCCCTCCAAGGCTTCCGTAGGGTAGGAAAGTGTTAAATGATAAGTTGATAGTTTTAACAGTAATATAATTAGATTTAAGTTTTCATTCTTATGAAAGTAGTCAATCCGAAAACACTAAAATGCGACTTCCTTGTGCCTTTTTAAAATATACTAAGTATATTGTTCAAATTGCTTAAAATGATTTTTGAAGGAAAAACATACTGAATTGTGTATATAGTATGTGAACATATATGTTGATATTAATTCCGTGACTTAATAAAGTTTGGAAAACATAAACATCATTTCTTATCAAACAGCAGATCATTTAAAGAAATCTATGCAAATTTATCTCTCTCTTCAATATGAACATAAATTATCCCTTTTGCTTACTGTTAAACGGTTTTCAAGTTGTTTCACAATTATTTATATTTATCTAATTTAACAAACATTTGAGCCGAGCCTATTCTCATGTAAATAAAATGAAGACTTGACACTCGGTAATTTAAGACCAGATATATTTCGTTTAAAGGCAATCACTTTTATTTTGTTTTATTTTAACAGTTAAAGAAAATTAACATTTTTTCTAGTGTCATGTGTTCATTTTAGCTCTAGAGGATTTTTTTCCATGACATGAATATGTTGAAAGCAATAATTAGTTAACATATATATTTGCAGGAAGCCTAAAGGTGCAAATCAAGGGCAATATGGCAGAAAATGTAAGATAATTTATTAACATTTGCAAATTGATATTTGCTCAAATTTAGAAATGGATCATATACCTGCCGAATTCTGATACTAAAAAAATGAACACATATGTTGTAGAGAAAATAAATAATGTATATACTTTTTTGTTGCACATATGTCAGTTTAAATTCTTAAATTCTCTTAGTGTGTTTAAAGAAGTTTCAATTTCAGATTTTAAAGTAAGTGTTGGATATTTTAAACTTTAAAAATGTACATATGTATACACATTCTTATCCGATTCCTTAAAAACATACAACAACTTAAAATAGATAACGTATTGGTTATAAGTGGTAAATACTAAGTTTAAACAAGAATCTTCTAAACTTGAAACTAATTTAAAGCTGTTATTATGTATTTTAGTAGACAGATACATTTGGGAAAACTTTTAATATTTCTATGATATCTATATGATTATTTTTTAAGTAATAATGTGTTTGCAAAATTTTCCTGTGACAAAAAGAATATATATTAATAATATATAGACATGAAGATATATATAAATATATAAATCTGCAGTTCATATAAACTTCTTTAATATTCATTGTGAAGTTATCAGCAAAGTTAATTGGCAGTATACCTACCGAACCACGATATGGAGTCACATTGAATTTACAAGAGTACAGTTCACCAACCGCATCGTTCTTTTGTAAGCTGTCAGGCCATTTACCAGCACTAGTTGCCTTCACTTTTGCAAGGAACTGATAATTTCTGTATATGCCAGAGCAGAGGTACAGTGCAAATGACCGTAGACAGAATTTCATAATTAATAACAACAAATTGACCTGTGCCATCCGATGCCCCGATTCACAGTTCTACTCTCTACCCGGTCGGCTTTTTACCTACCAACAAATGACAATCTCTTATATTTTTCTAAGAACGGATATACATTGTGTGCATAGTCGTTTTATCTATGTTGTGTGTATATATATATGTATAAGTGAGACTATAATAAAAATATAAGCATTTATAGGAATGGTCGATTACGAATAAAAAAGGGCAAATATATTTTCTCTATCTAACATATTCAGGGCTTGAAATCAAAACTGCGTCGTATCCTACAAAATGTTAACAAACGCCGCCATCTTGGAACGAGAAAAGGTATGTTTTTGTTTTATAACTTTTTTGTTAGATGTGACTGAAAAACCAAATATATGTATTAACAAATTCCACTATTTTCCGTTTCGGTCGGTATATGTTGCTTGCACAAGTTTTTTGTATAACAAAAGGTATAGCGAACTTGCAACTCGAAATGGGGCAGAATTGTTATGAAATTTTGCGGATACGACGCAGTTCATATTGCTTTATCTATCGTTTTTACTTCAAATTAATTATATATACTCATTTCAGAATTCACCATAAACATCAAAATATTATTTTGCATCACTAAGATTTCATTAAAAAGAAATGTTTATTTTCTAAGAAAACAATAATTTACACGAAATGATACGACGCAGTTGAAAATAAAATATGATACGACGCAGTTGTATTTTCATTGCAGGCTGCATATTGGTTCAAGTATGCTAGTAAAATCCAACAACATTTCTTGTTGCGAATTTTTTATCATTATGAATGCGCACAAGTAACCTATACAACTTAAGTCGAGAGCAGAAGTCACTCATTGGTCACACGAAAATGGAAAATTCTATTTAGGCTTCATTTTGCGGTCGCATTTTTAGCACTTGTCATAAGCATCTACAAATTCCGAAAAAGGTGTATCAAATACATTGAAACACGTGACCGCACATTACAACGTACGTATTAAATTGCTGCCTTAGCATGCCTATAAACCTGTTCCCATAAGTTCGAAACTAATAGAGGTGGTTACATTTTTCATATGCGCAAATGCAGACGCCTTGCAGAATGAAAGGTCAATTTCAGGTCACTCATGTTTTATTTAGTGGAGGCAGGAAGCTGTTTACTGACAAGCCTCCAAAGAGAAGTTATTTCACAATAATCATACTTTAATTGTTAAAATAAGCAGTTGTTATTAGCAAAATATATCTTAAATGTTTCAGAAACTTGTGAAATATTTGATGCTTTTGTCTGTAGGTTTATTTTAGGTTCGTTTTATGTAAAAGTTAAGGATATTACTTAATGGTGAATGAAATAGTTAAAAAACTAATGAAATATCAAAAATGAAATATTCTAATGAAATATTTTTCATTAAATTCAAAAATGGTAACATTATGATATTTCCATCTCACGGTCGGCTCTCAACATAGAATATTTCTTTTCTTGAAAACACATGAAAACTGTGCATTAACAGAATAAAATGATGCGGAACAAAATATTATGCTACTACTTTAAATATGTTTTTAACAAAACAAAACATATTTATTTCATACATTCTTATTCAAATATATGGATGCTCAAATAGGCAAAACACAGAAAACACAATGTCATTATATGTACTTAGATTCCTAAATACGTATTGTGGAGAAGGGATGCATGGACAAACGCTATAAAAAGATTTGACCAAGAAAATTAAAGCCGTGACAATCATCAAATAATTCTTTGCATGCATTTTACGTTTTTTTAATGAGACAAATTGTTTTGCTTCATAATTTTTACTATGTTTCATAAAATAAATCATTATTAAGTAACTGGCAGGTCTAATAATTTCTACATTCCACATAGTAAATTAATTGTTAGCAAAAAAAATAAAGTTTAGCCTTAATTTTTTTAACAGGCTTTTCTGCAGAAGTGGAAATATTTTAAATGACTGGGTTATGCCTTTCAGAAGTCAAAGAATATCTGTATAATTTGGATAGATGTTCCACAAATATATGTATTTTAGCCAGTCATTTGTTTTCATTTTTTTCTGTAATCTGATATTTCTAATAATATTGGTAGTTTTGAATTGTAGTTTTGAAACTGAGTTTATGCCTGAGGTTAAAAATAAATTAAAGATAATTTAAAATAAATCAATGTCAATTAAGGTTGCATGGATTTGATAATATTTTTTTCTTTATCAGGTAAGCCTTGTAACGTATGTTATTTGTACACTGCCTCTTGCTTGCCAACACTTGTAAGTTTCTAATAATAGAACAGGCTGAACATGTCGAAACACTGGTACATAATTTAGTAACAACCACAATAATAATAATAATGATGATGATGATGATAACTTTATTTAAAGGGGCAACATATTTTGGCAAGTTAAAGCTTCCGTTCGAGTCTCTATCAAAATGTACTTATAGTAAACAGTTCAAACAAATGATTTATATAAAGATACATATTGTTTATATATTAAAATGATGGGAGAAGAGTGTTTAGGGACTTATATACTAAAATGGCCTTTTTATAATTTACTCTCAGATAATTTTATAAATACAGTTTAATTCAATAACTTATCAGTAGGCGCATTGAATGTTAGTATCTGTAGCTTATCCAAGGTTTTTATGTTCCAATAATAATGGATCAGAAGTGTTTTGTCTGCAGAAAGGATAGTTTATTGAAGTAAAAAATTAAATATATTTCTATACAGACAAAAAAGTATAAAGAATAAAACCCAAAGACAAGGTTATTTTTGAGCATTTCAATGAACTTTGGCTATTAGCAGACAGCTTGCTGCCTCCAGAGATAACCTGTGGTCAGTAATGATATGCAGCGTTCTATTTTTAGTAATTTTGAAAGGGGTCTATGCCTTCTTTGTACAACAATTCGCGACAAATCCGTTATTACTTATTGGTTTTACGCGCCGATTTTATTGAAGTACTTTTCTTAATAACCGATGAGAACAGGTGAGCTTTATTATTGGATACTTAAATCGGTATTTGAAATAAAGTTTTATGCCTCTTTTAATACATGATCAGGAAAAATGGTCATTTATTCTGAACAATAAATTTTTAAAATTATATTATAAATGGTTAAGCTACGATTTATTTTTTCAAGTACTGCATGAGTTTCGTTCAATCATTTTTATGTTCAGCGCCGTGGAACTTTACCGGAATGTATTTTCTAGATTCGTACTGTTGTGTCATTCTTCTTCATTAAAAAACTTTAAATTTTCAAATTCGGGTTACAAAAATGTTAAAACAGAAAAGTATTTGTAAAGTAGCTAGGTGTCCGTTTTTGCAAAGAGATAAATTTAATACAGATATATGCACGACATGATGTTTCAAAAGAATTAAAGAAGTTTTCCTATATTAGATTAAAGCCGGGATTAGAAAACTTAGGTCAGATTATCGCACTGAATTTTCCAGAGACTAAAAAGAAAGCATCTTAACATGCCTTTAAACTCAAGTGTGATTTTTATTTCATAATGAATTGCCTGAGACATAAAACATTTTTTCTCAGAAAATGTCTTCAAAGTGGATTAACCCCCTGTATACATTGAAAAATTCTCTGCTATTCACGCCACAGACACATCATATTTTAAACGAAATAACAAAGTAAAAACTGATCTTAAAGAGTAAGGAAATATTTCATTTTAACAAGAAATTTAAATGTTATTCTCTTTATAATTAATTTAAATACTTGTAATCTTCAAACTCCATGCCAGAAGTTTATTTTAAAAATAGCTTTCTTGTACGGCTGACATTTAAGACTATGGTTAACAAATTTGTTGAAAAAAAATCAGAGAGGTGAGTCGAGGCCGAGCTATTTATGTTTACTGACTTCAAATCACTTGCACTTAACTGCTGTGAATTTGAAAACCACTAGGGACTTCTGATTCTTTCGTAAGCTAATGGTTCTCTGCAGGTGTACCATTCTGCCTGAAATAATGCACAAAGACGCACATGAGGTCCTAGCCCCCAGTAAAACTAAAGTGTAGAGTGAAAGTTTGAAATAAAACCACAAAAAGCAGTCATCACCTAGAACATGCAGACCCACAGTTTATTTTGAGCGTAGCTAGCCAAAATGAATTTTGTGATTCAAGTTCATAGATTCTATAATTTTGCCATAAAAATACGGATAATATTGAACATACTGGAAAATATAAGAAATTAGTTCAGATATTATGATAAATAAAGTAACCTGTTCATGTTTAACTGAAAAGTAGTTTCTGCAATGTAAATTGGACATGACATAATGCTTTCTAAATAATCAAAAGCATCAGAACATTGCTATAAACTGCGAATGATATTAGTCTTTTTATCTAGCACAAGTGATTATCCGGTAAAATAGACATATATTGCCAAAATTATCCCTGCTGAAAAGAATGCAAAAAATACAACTGCGTCGTATCATATTTTATTTTCAACTGCGTAGTATCATTTCGTACATATTATTATTTTCTCGGAAAATAAACATTTCGTTTTAATAGAATCTTAGAACATTATGCAAAATTATATTTTGAAGTTTATGGTAAACTCTAAAATAAGTATATAATTGATTTGAGGGAAAAACGATAGATAAAGCAATATGAACTGCGTCGTATCCACAAAATTTCATAACAAAATTCTGGCCCGCCTTGAGTTGCAAGTTCGCTATAACTTTTGTTTTACAAAATAGTTTTACAAACAACATATACCGAACGAAGTTGAAAATAGTGGAGCGTGTTAATACAAATATCTGGTTTTCACCAATTTCCATCAAAAAGAGTTATAAACAACAACATACCATTTTCGTTCCAAGATGACGGCGTTTGTTTACATTTTGTAGGATAAGACGCAGGTTTGATTCCAAGCTCTGATATTTACATGTAAATTTGCAGGATAATTTGATGACAGAAATAGATCAATCATTGATCTGTCTTGAAAGAGCTATCACAGATAGTGAAATCAGTGTAAGTGGATGCTTATCATTATTTATCTGATAAATAATTATTTGCATTTCTTGAACAAAATGTTTTATTTGAAGTGATTATTTTCTTTTATACTCTGAGTTCAAGTAAGTCTATTCTTTCAAGTAAGCTGAAAGTTTTCTTCCATCGAAATTTAATGATTAATGTTGAAAACCTTGATTAATATTTAATTTGTTATCATGTCAATGAGTACAGAACTTAAACATATGTTGTGCAATTCACTTTTAAAATGAATTGTTAGAGTAAAATATTAACACTTAAGATTTCGAAATAAATCTTTATTTACTTATATCAAGTATCCAATGACTGACTCCGTGTAAGATGAAAACATTATATACTAGTATTTCAAATTTGGATTTCAATCTTTAAAATATTGATACTTTTAGAATGGAGATACTTTGATATTGAATAGGGAAGACGGATCCAAAATCCTTCACTGCATTGAGGTAAAAGTTGTTCTTTTTTATTGTTATCAAATAATTATTTAATTATTTTGACTTGTTGTTCGAGTTAATATGCGATTCTGTTGATGCTTGTTTTTGTCATTTGCAAAACAACAACAACAAATAACAGAACAGAAACAACTACCTCCCCCCACAAAAAAGAAAATGAAATAAAAAATAATATTAAAGAAAATGAATAGAAGTAAAATAAATAAAAACTTAAAAACTAAATAGAAAACATAGCAGACAATCACAACAACAATAACAGCAACAACAACGAGCATAATAAACAAATGTATTTCTTAGACCATTCAATGCCATTGCCAACATAAAAAGACAACACGTGATTGTGGCAAATGCTTAGCTTCATGTGATCTCTATGGAAAAAGAATTGAAAACATTGAAACTGTAAATTGTTCTTGCTTGACATTTTTCCATATCGCTTATTTACCTTTATACCATTTGAATTTCACCTCTTACATTTTTACTTGATTTGTTTTAATAATTAGAAAATTACTTCGTGTAAAGTCTCCGTCATATCTGTATTGTGTTTCTGCTACTTGTCATAAATATCAGTTGACATGAAAACGTATGACTATTATGACAATTATCTTTTTTCATTTTATTCCGTTTGACTGTTACATTTTTGTTTTGAAATTCGTATTGATTTAACATATTCCCAATGATGCATGCCTAAACTATTTTGTAAAGAATTATCATGATATTATTAATTATCTTATTAAATAAAAACTTATTATTCACTTCAATCATATATAATTTAGAAATCAAAAAGGATACTTCAAGAGGAACAACCGAGCGGAACAAAGAAAAATGCGTTACATGGTTGGATATTTTTTTTTATAAAAATATAAATATAACTTGAAATACATTGAATAAAATGATATGAACCTTATTTCTAATGTTATTTCTTAAGAATCATTATCATATTTAAATCATGCTAGTCTTGCTGAGTGCGTTAACACCTTTTTTGGCTATCGATATCTTCATGTCGTTATATCTTGGTAATGATTAAGCGTTGTACTTGTATTTGCGGAGAGCAAGTTTTAGAAGGTCATATCTTTTAAGCGATAACTTATTTTCAACAAAAAGAATTTATTTAACTTACTTTGCTAGTTTAATAGTAAGTTGATACATAGTACATTATTGTAAGATTAATCAAACATTTCAATTACTTTTAGTTTAATGAAAAACTTAAAAAACATAATTTGTCATGCGATTTTGCCAGAACAATATTTCATTTACAAAAGAAACAATAAAACAAATACTTTGTTCGGCAAGATGTAACTAATAAAATAAACGAAGGCGTACAAAATGATTTTTTTAAATTATTTCAGAAATGACCAGTTATCAAGGGAAGAAGAAAACTGTTTATATCTATATTGATGGTACTGAAAAAAATCTCGAGAAAATAATTAAAGTAGAATTCTCCAAACTTTTGTCAAAAATGCTCATAACTTGTGTATCACTTAAGGGAAATGTGCACCTTAAAGGCGAATATCCCCTGATTGTTCTTTGTCCAACTAACTCTAGACTACTGTCAGACATTGAATTTGTCCTTGAACAATTGAAACAATTTTCATGTAAGTAATATTTGATTTTCTATTCAATGATTCGAAGTTATAAATTTTGAATTTAATTTAAAAATCCTGTAGGTTGTAATTTAGATTGTAACCACACTGAAGTAAAATTTTATATATGTATATCATTATGCTTCTAAAAATATTTCAAACAAAGAATATGTGAAATATGAACTGCAACTATTTGTCCAAATTAAATGTAATCATTAAAATATATGCATTCATTTCTTATTGAAAAAGTTGACTCGGACTTTACAGAAACTGAATTTCTAATTATCTAATTATCTCCATTTATTAGCATGAAATGTAAATTCAGTAAAATCTTTTTTGTATTGCTTTTTGGAACTAACAATATTGAACAATCTTCATTTGGGCATTACATTTATGATATAAAACGATAAAAAAATGTGTTACAGAATCTTTAAGAGAATCTCAAAGCATATAAATGCATTGTGATGACAGGTTTTTAACTCGTATTAATATAAAAACATGGTTTTATGGGGAATATTCAAGTTAAGCAATATACACACAAAATTATTAGTTTAGACACAGTTTATTTCGAACAATGAATACAACATGTCAAACAATGAACACAAAAGTATTAAACATGTAAGTTAAAATTACTTCCAAAGTAGGTCAAAGGTTGTAACTCAAATTTGTCAATCAATCGATAACACACTCAATTAAACCGAGTCTGCAATTTTCATGATTTTTTTGTAAAATATGCTTCCGAGGGATCATTTTGTTTCCAGATTTTAAAACGTACAAAAAAGGCAAAAAATACATGTTTTGATAAGATTTTTGTCAGTGACTTCTAGTCATGCACCCTGGTGACTTGTCTACAATTTTCAAGTTATGCATGCAAAACAATGACAAGTATTTCACTAGTTCACAAAGGACTAAAATATTATAAAAATATACTTAAGTTATGTGTATGTGATAGTGATCTTCAGCTACAATCTCTGGTGACTTTATGATCTTCATACCTAATTATGTGGTTTATTAGGTATCAAGTATTGTCATTAAGCGTTGCCCTAATAGTACGCTTTACAAAAACATCGCCATTTTCACAATTTCAAATATAATATGTTTTTCAGATTTAATCAAAAATATTTCAGAAAGTTGTTACGTTGTTCATCAAAATACACCATAGCAAAATTAAATTTATTCTATTTCGGAAATGTAGTTGAGTTAAAGCGCATTCATTAATTATACGTTTTAAGACTCATTTAACTTGTCACAATCGTTTATATTTCAGTACCTGGAAGATTTGCACTTGCTGTTATCAATATGACAAGAGTAAATGATCTTCCGCGATTGCCAATTGAAAGCAGACTTGATACGGGAGTCTATAGCAACATACATTTTATTGATATGGCTTTCACGATGGAACATCTAATGTATGATTGCAGCATGAACAGGGAAGCAACAAAGAAAATTCAATCTTTCGTAAACAGTATGTATCAACAAGAGCGACCAGAAATTCCTACATGTTACTCCTGTTGGAACCCATTTCGATAATGCAGTTACTTTGTATCATGATACTACCCCCCCTCAACCCCCCAATAAAAAAAACAAAACAAAAAAAAAACATTTGTGTCGCCTTTTCAGAATTGTATAGGGGCGATATATATGAATCACTTCTCCGTTGTCTGTATGTCTTTCCGTCTTTCTATCCATACAATTTTTTTTGGACTACTCAAATACTTCTGGGGCAATTTCATCCAAACATTACAGAAATGAGCAGTACTGAGTCGAATTGCGCATAATTTCAGTGATTTCCGTTTCAATGATTTTTGTCAGAGTTATGGCTCTTTGATTCCTTTTTAATTAAAGTGTGTCTAGACTACTCCTCTTATACCCCTAATGAAATTTCCTTGGAACTTTACAAGAATAAATGGTAGCTCAGGTGCTTGTGCATTTTACATGGGTTTTCCGTTTGAAAGATTTTTGACCGAGTTATGACCCTGAAATAAAAAAGTTATTTTTTTTCGTGTTGTCAGCTACACAGAAGCTTTTCTGGACAACTCCTCAGAAACTACTGGTGCGATTTTATAAAAACTTTACAGAAATAATAAATTACAAGTCAAGTTGTACATATCATTGACATTATTTAGTTCAGTGATCTTTATTAAAGTTATGTCCTTTAATGGTTTTTTTTTTAAATGTGTCCGCTCGTCTTATAACAAAAATGCAGTTTCAATGAAACTTTACAGGATTGATCGGTAGATAAACAACTTGCGAATATTACACGGATTTTCTGTTTGAATTTATTTTGCTGAGTTATGGTGTGTATTAAATACAAACGCGTTTTGTCCTGTTAATGTTTTTGTGTCTCCCGCTTCACAGTAACTACAACATGCAATTGATTTTATTGAGGCTCTTGTTTATTGAAGGGCAATAACTCAGGGCCATAAATTGAAGAAGCGATACCAAAATGACACATTCAAGCGGCATGAAATATCTCAATTATAGTTATAATCAATTATAAGATTTCTGTAAAAATGTACTTGATTTTTAAATGTGAATGACTTGAGTTTATATCAAAATTGATAACATTATCTTTCCCGATATGACAATTGAAGTAATTTGTGAACAACTGGTCATTACTTCCATTTATAGATTCTTTGCCATTTTGTTTTTGGATACATAAAAACGCTTAACTTAATAAGCATAGAAAATACCTCCTTGTTATCCTATGGAAACATTACGTTTGTTAACGTTATGGTCTTGTTGTATGTCTAATAGAAGGGGAGCTTGTATTTTCAAAGTCTATAAAAAGTCCATGAACAGATTAATTGTAGTCAAATAATTGAAATGCTTAATTAAGTGTTTAAATGAAGTTAAAGAAAAATGATATATTTGTTAGGATTGAAGAACAATGTGTTCTTTTAACTGAATGATATATTAATGAACCAAAAATATTGCTTTTTTCTGTCTAATTCAATATATTAATGCAAATGAAACAAAAGTACTCGTGTTTTGTAAAATTTATACTGCTTGTGTTTTGCTTCTTGATTTTGTGTACTCGTGTTTTAAAGTGAATTAAATCATATGATCTTATAAATCATTTTTGCTGAAATATAAACACTTATCAATTACGTCTTTAATCAAATGAAAATTTTTGTTTGTGTACCCTGTGCGTTGATAAAGTTTATATACACATGAACAATGCCCCAAAAATCAACTTGCATATACTTTAGCCAGACAAAAATGTTAAACAACTGAATATTAATAAAATCAAAACTTGTGTATTATGTTCCCAATTGCGGACAAGAATATCTATAATCTCATTTGTCTAAGCAGCCTTATAATCATATGCTAAGTATTATTTCGTTAAAGAAATGGATGGGAGAAAAATTAATAAAGAAAATTAGTCTTCTTGAAGAAAATTTTAATAAAACGAACTAAATTATGTAAAACTACCTATCAGAATTACAACACACAATTGTTGAACCTCATGTTGATATCTCTAACGGCTACTTGAATGGGACAGATCAATTAATAACAAGAAAAGCATTGATGCAAAGCATCAAAGGCGACGCCAAAAAATTTTGATCAAGTTTTGTACCTAAATACTTAACAAAAGATGTGTTCTTTATAGCAGTACCATTACATGAGATGATGTGACCTGGAGGCTAAGGGCCCAGTTTAAGTTGAAACTTAAACCAAAAAGAATAGACTCTGTCTTGCCAAGATGCAAAGACAATTTATAGTCAATTAACTATTCTTATAAGACTCATGACATAAGAGAGAATTTCTTCAGATTTATTTTGCCAAAAACATGTTACCTGAGTCATCAGCATATAATAAAAGCTTATTGCTTAGGAATGCAGACATGTCATTGACATATATTAGACATAAAAGAAGACCTAAAATGAACCTGAGGGGGATACCATAGGTACTCGGAGCAGTAGTAGAATCAGTACCAGCCAAGTTTCATGAAGAAGAAGAAGAACTTTTTCATGTGCAATATAGTGTGATCAACTGTATCAAATGCCTTTCGTAGATCTAAAAGTATCATGCTATACTGCCTATGTCCAATTTAGATTCAATACAATCTGTTAAATGAATCAATCATGTGTCAGATGATAAACTACTTCTAAGCCCTGACTGAAACTGCCTGACCACGATTCGAACCCATGACTGTCAGAAGACAAACTAAGCTATCCGGCCAGCTACACATTTTCTCTTCAATAATGAAACAGTTCTAAACCACAACATATTACCCCACTATATTGATTTGTGTCCTTGAATTTCTGATGTTTACAGAGCATAGTGAATTAAACTCAGGGTTTTATGCAGTCACAGGATGAGAAAAACTTTCAGCTTGACCAGAACTCGAACCTGTGACCTACAGAATAATGTACCGCGGCTGTAGCGATTGAGCTATCTGGCCGCTTACACATTTTCTCCCCTAATTAGTGAACAGTTCTAAACCGTCACAGATACTTTTAGATTTTAAAATTAACAGGTAGATTAATTCTTAATTAAACAAGTAAGAAAAAAACCTTAAATACTCATAGTCTTAATCAAAATACAATTTATATACATGTATTGTATAATTATTTTTACTAAAAAGGGCTTAGACAGTTATTGGTTGTGCCATTATTTATAATAGGTCAATTTGAAAGTGAACATAACTGTACTAATACATGTACAATATCTATTTTTTTTGTACAGATAAAAACTAACATTTTTTCTATGATAAGAAATTTTATAAAGGCTGATTTGTATTTTGCATCGGGGGCACCGGCCGAAAACATGAAAATGCAACAAACGAACCACTTTGTGGTAGATTGTATGTTCATGTTTTCATGGCGCCCGGTTACTTTTTGTAATTTGTTGGTTTTCATGTGGCACAATTAACCCCCTATAAAATTTAGTGCAAGTAACAATCTACTCTATGAAAAGTCTGTTGGCGGGTTGACTCTGGAGACCTGATGGTTGAGACAGATGTCCCTCCATTACAAATAGAGAAGACAGAAGCTGTCCTTTTCAAACTATGCACATGTTAGAAAAAACAATTAGAATAACTTTTCAGAATATGATCTTTTGAGACTTTAATAATTAATAAAGTCTCAAAAAATCATATTTTGAAAAGTTATTCTAATTTTTTTCTAACATGTGCATAGTTTGAAAATCAAAGTGTTTAAAATTGATAACTTCAGGATGTTATCCTTTCTCTGTTTTAATATATGGACATGAGCACCTATATGCATAGCTTTAATTTTCTACCTTTCATTTTTACCAAAGGTTATTTAATTAGCAATTTATATACAAACACATAGAAAATAATAACTAGTTTCACATAGTGATTAGAAGATTCCTGTAGCAGAATACTTGTAGGTATGTACTAACTGAACAATCTAGAAAAATCTAGTCTAAGGTATATAAAGAAAAAAATCTATCAATATTCACTGCTCAGGGCCTCCTAGCTTTTGATGACATTACAACTGGTAAATTTTATACAACAAAAATAGTAAGTAATACCTAAGATAGACAAAATAGAATAAATAATTTAGTAAACATGAATAACTTCCCCTTAAAATAGAGAAAACCTGAAACCCAAAAGAACACCCTAAACAGCAAAATTATTAAATGTTGCAGGCTTTGCTTTATTAAGCCATGCAAAGTAATGGTAAAATATTCATAAAAAAATTGATGGCCGTGTGACAGGAGTAATTGCAGAAAATCGGATAGCTTTCAACATCCGGATACTGGTACACTTTATAAAAATAATCATTCTGTGCAATAGATAAACGTAATATGGATAAAATCAATAGGATAATCGTTTACAACAGTTCCATTACCTATCCTAATACTCATTTGCAGGTGAACGTTCTTCTTGTAGGAAACTTTTGAAAATATATAAATGAATGAAAAGGAATACGGCATCAATGTAGACCAAAACGATATTCGAAATCCGGGTTGTAGTATTGCCAATAAAGCTAAGGGACAAGCTGTTAAACTGAGCCTGCAATTTCGTGAAAGTAATAGCACAATGCACATGCTTTTTACATAAAGTTATTAAATACAAATAAATCAACATATTTGTTACTTGCTTTTTACGAATCAAAATAAAAACTTATTAACACAACATGACATTAACTGCTAATAAACAACAGCCCCTTTCCCCAATGGGCCCAAAAAAAAAAGGTTTTTAAGAGACGACCCCCTCCCCGGCTCCCCAAATTTAAGTTATAGCCTTTAAAGGGTATAAATTCCCCTTGAAAATTACAGGTAAAATTGTCAGTTCTTTTTTTAAAAACCCCTTAAAAATTAAAAATGAAAAAGGGCCCCTCGTAAATTTAAAAGGTTTTTATGCCAAGTTTAATTTTGTTCCTTTTTCGAGGAGTACCCAATTCAAAACAAAAAAAGTTTTTACCCACTTTGAAAAACCCAAAAAAGAAGAATAAAATAAAGCCCCCGAAAAAGGTAGATTTCTTATAAAAAAAAATGAAAAAAAAGCCCAGTTTAGCAGCATCATTTTTTATAACCCCGAAAACCCGGGGTAAAAAAATGGAAGCATCGGGGATATGAATAAAGCCATAACTTTTTTTAATAGTTTTAAATTACAATTTTCGAAACCTATTCACTAAACATGCCCGTAAAGTCAAAAGCATTATACGTGATATATTTATGAAAAATGTGCATCATTTATGTGCAAATATATTTAAACATTTAAATGAATGTATTTTGTAGTTTTAATCAAATCAAGAAAAATGTTTTGTACAATCTGTTATAACCTTTTCAGGTGAATTGATTGATTTTATCATCAAAATGAATTAATAACATCCGCAACATTCGTACAGCGGTGATGAAAAACAATAATTTTGACACTTAAAGAAATACATTCACATCTCAAAACTTTACTAGATGACTGTTCTAACTTCGAGCCCTACTAGAAACAATGATCAAATCTTCTTTTAATTTTGCTTATGTACTGTGTTGTTATTTCAAACAACAAAAATATCAACAGCAGCAACAACAACAACAACAAAACAAACACAACAAACGTTGAAAATTCTATTTTGAAGGATTCGCAGGGTAAAAATTACCTATAAATTATTGCGATATACATGTTAAAGGCACGTGTTTCGAACAGATGAAGTATGAAAAGCAAAGTCAACAAGGAAGGGTGGCATTCAATGAACGCATCTCCAGCACACACAGCCAAGCATCATAGAACCACCGGCAAAGCGCCCATCAGGACACCAGGCAAAAAAGGAAAGGCAAAAAGGCAATACACGGACGGGTTGTTAATCTAAATAAAAACATGTGCAATATCTGTAATATGATATTTTTTGTCTTACTTTGTAAATGATTATAGATTCTGCCATCTGCCCTTATTAAGTCACGTTGTATGTGCTCACAGACTGTAATACTGTGGGTTCCTTTGTATCCACCTATTCTATCCTGAAATAACACTTTGTCTGCATTGAAAATTCTGTAAATAAAATTTGTTAACAAGTGAAGTAGAATAAATTTAATTGATTTAAAAGTGAATTAAGTCATTATATTTTATTAAATAGGTTCTAAAGAACATATACCTTACTTTTGTGTAAATGTTACTTGTCTTTTCTTTTTCTCGAAAGGCTTATTCGTCAACACTTTCTTCAGAAGCTCGAATTATCTGTCCGTAGTGTATTGACTAACCTGAGACTTGCCCAGGTTGTACGGAATTCTCTGTTACATGTAGGGGTGTCAAGAGTTTGTACTTAGAAGGGACACGCGACCTGTAAAAATACAAGATAAATGCATAGATCGCAATATCTTACTCATCTATAAAGTTGCTAATTATTCAGACATTTACGATATCAAGTATTGAATCAGTTGTTGTAATCTAATAATGAAACATAAATGGTTAATTAACTGGTCAACTGTTCTACACAAATACTCATGCACCGCATACATCTAAATCATATTCCTCGTCATGGGAAGCTCTAACTGCTACTGAAAATGCACAAACTCTACAATGGCCCCTC